GAGAAATTCATTTTCAAAGAGCTGATTGAGCCACGAGGGAATATTAATACCTAAATATTGAAGCAATCCTGATGCTTTGCTTAAAGGGAAGCTGGCTTTGATAGATGAAAAGGTTCCAAAATGTCTCTGGTCTATGTCTTTTTAAAAAAACATGGTTTTTTGGCATATTTTCATCTCTCTGCATTAAGTCAGAAAAGTAAAAGGTACAGTTTATTTCTCTTCAAAATAGAAAAAGCCCTTTCTTTGCTTCCTACTGCCAGCAAATGCATTTGCTAGGATGCCGCTAGGTTTCTGAGTGTCCTAGTCTAAAGGGTGTGATTTTCACTTTTGAATATGGAGGCATAAATGTTCTTTTGACTCTTTGACAGCCGAAGTGGAAGCCATTCTGCTGTGCTGACTGTGGGTGGCTATGTAGAAAGCATTTCCCATCCAAAGCGAGCACAGACAGCAAGGGATGGAAGGAATGTTTGGGGCAAAGCTGACCTGTCCTTTGTCATTCTCTGGTTCACAGTAAAGGCTGTTCCACCAAATGATTACAAGTACCAAAAAAAAAAAAATTAATTCCAGGAACCAGAGGATTCAGAAGGAGTAATAGGATCCCATTCCCCCGAAGCTGATATCATCAAATTCTCTCACATGATTTACAACCTGGCAATCTATCTCTTTCCATTGATTATTCTGCAATTGTGGAATATAACTGCTCTCTGCCCATTCCAAGAACTCTAAAGTGTTGCACTGAGAATACACTAATGCACCTTTAATGTAGAGAAGACAGGGGAAGAGAAAAAAAAAAAAAAACACGAAGGTACAAAACAGGCCGGAGAATGCATAAAGCTGAAGATCCTTTCAAAGGAGGTGGAGAAGTTAACAGCTTTTCAGGGAGGCAATCAGGCAATTCATGCCCAGCAGCTACCTGGGCTCACACTGCTAACTGGAAATAAGCCACCTGTTCAGCACTGCTGAGAACTACCTGGGACTGAACTGGAGGCACGTGTGTGTCTCACTTTGGGCAAAGGCCGCCCAAGAAAACAATTTCTCAACGCGATGGAATTGCGGAGTTCAAGCAAATGTTACAGAAAGATGCTTCCCATTCCAAGATGCTCACCGGACAAGCACTTTGAACGAGAGCCTTCCCAACTGCACAGATCACACACGACAATGCAGTATCTAAACCAGGCGTCCACAAACTACAGCCCACGGGCCACGTGCGGCCCGCCAAAGACATATATCCAGCCCTCCGGGTGTTTTTTGCCACCGCTGCCTGTCCTGCTTAGCAGCCGACTCGTCCCGGGCCCACAGTGTGCACTCTCCAATGGTCTGAGGGACAGTGAACTGGCCCCCTGTTTAAAAAGTTTGAGGACCCCTGAATTCTAAACCTTCATGCAGGGGCCAGCAAAACCCCACCCGCTGCCTCTTTCTGTATGTTCCTCAAGCAAAGAATGTTTTTGTTATTATTATTTTTAAATGGCTGGGGAAAAAATATCAAAAGAAAATATTTCGTTACACATGAAATGTATATGAGATTCAAATTTCAGTGTCTATAAATAAATAAAAGTTTTATGGGAAGGCAGCCACGCCCATTCGTTGATGTGTTGCCTGTGGCTACTTTAGTGCTACAATCCAGCAAGTAGGTCCAAGACATGGCTTGCAAAGCCAAAAATGTCTACTATCTGTCTCTTTACAGAAAACGTTTGACCCAAGGAGTACTATTCAGCTTTAAGAAACAACGGTGATCTAGCACCTCTTGTGTTTTCCTGGCTAGAGCTGGAACCCACTCTACTAAGTGAAGTATCTCAAGAATGGAAAAACAAGTACCACATGGACTCACCAGCAAATTAGTATCAACACTTAAGTGGACACATAGGAATAACATTTATGGAGTGTCAGGTGGGGGAGAGGCCGGGGGGGGCCATGGGCAATATCTGTAACCTTAACATTTGTTAACTTTAACATAATATGCTGAAATAAAAAAAAGAAAGAAAGGAAAAGAAAGAAAACGTTTGCCAATCCCTGCCTTAACTCACCCACAAATTTCAGGAAAACAGCTCCAAAAAAACTAAAGGCCCACTAGAAAAATGCAGTTACTAACAAAAGAAAAATTGTTCTTTTCCTTCTAAACAGGCGTCCTTCTCAGAAAACACCACCAGAAAGGTCAGCACAAACGGCCTAACATAAAGTCTCCAAAAAAGCTTTCAGGTTTTTTACTTTGGTAGCCAATATGGTGGTTAGAAACAGAGCAGGAGAAAGAGGAAAGTCAAAAATGATGAGAAAGGAACTTTACATACATCATCCCATCCGATCCTCACAGCAAGGTTCTGAGGGATGCTTATCCCCATTTTACAGGTGAAAAGACTGACTCCAAGATAAGCTGAATCACATCCTCATGAGGTCACAGCAGCACATGATGTCTTCAGAGCCTCAGCCCAGGTTTTAGTGGCTCTAAATCCTATCCTTTCAACTATTACAAGATGGTTAAGATACCTGGTTCAAAAATTTGCTTTTGCCATTCACAGAAAGAATGACACAGTGAGAGAACAAATAATGCTTAAGTGAATGACACAAAAGAACTACCTACCTGTAAAAGGAACGGTCATGGGTCATGTCATAGAGACATGTTTCTCTTATTAAATGCTGTATACGCTTTAGTGCCGAGCCCTTAAGTAACATTCAGTTCCTGTTCTTACTATCACCCCTAGTCCAGCCAAATCATCGTAGGCAAAAAAACTGTGTAATCTCTTTATCCATCTGCTACGAAGACTGCTGGCCACAGCCCAGCACCCTTGCCCCACGCGGGCTCCTCTTCCCAAGCTTACCTCCCAGGGCAATTTGTTATATCCAGCAATAAATCACTTATAATCTAAGAGACACTGACAATACAGCTACCAAATGATTCAGGACTTTCAAATTCTCTTAACAAAGACAGATGATGCAGCTGGTTGCAGTATTGCTGATTTTATTGCTGTTATTTTTGACTATGCATAAAAGTGACCACACACAACACTTACTGCATCCCAGGCACTTTAAATATTCTAATGCATTACAAATTGTTAAGCCTCCTTTCCCTACAAGGTTAGTGCCATAATCATTCTCATTTTAAGACTAGGAAACTGAGGCACAAAAGATTAAGTGATTTGCCAGTAGTTGGTGGAGCTGGGATTCAAACCCAGGCAGTGTGGCATAAAAGTTGACACTCCTTATCATATACCTCACTGACTCTCCTTACCAGATACAAATAAACATATTTAAAGTGTGAAAATCAATTGTATATGATCAAGATTTATCTCCATTATTAATAGAAGGCCAGTCTTTAATTTTTATTTATTTATTTTTTTTGAGAGAGAGTCTCACTCTGTTGCCCAGGCTCAAGTGAGTGCCGTGGCGTCAGCCTAGCTCACAGCAACCTCAGACTCCTGGGCTCAGCGATCCTCCTGCCTCAGCCTCCGAGTAGTATGGACTACAGGTATGTGCCACCATGGCCGTAATTTTCATATATTTTTAGTTGCCAATTAAATCTTTATATTTTTTTTAGTAGAGACGGGTCTCGCTCTTGCGCAGGCTGGTTCAAACTCCTGACGAGCGTCGCCGCCTCCAGCAGAGTGCTAGGATTACAGGCGTGAGCCACCGCGCCCGGCCTAATTTTTCACTAATTGGGGAAAGACTGGGAAGAATAACCTGCATAAATTGATAGAAATAAGAAAAGAGTCTCTTAAAATGCAATGTTATTTCTTATTCAAAAAAAAAAAAAAAAAAAGGCCGGGCGCGGTGGCTCACGCCTGTCATCCCAGTTCTCTGGGAGCGAGGCGGCTGCGGATCGCTCGAGGTCAGGAGTCGAAACCAGCCTGAGCAAGAGCGAGCCCCGTCTCTACTATAAACAGAAAGAAATTAATTGGCCAACTAATATATATAGAAAAATTAGCAGGCAGGTGGCGCATGTCTGTAGTCCCAGCTACTGGGGAGGCTGAGCAGGAGGATCGCTGAGCCCAGGAGTTGAGGTGCTGTGAGCTAGGCGGATGCACGGCACCACTCTTACCCATGGCAACAGAGTGAGACTCTGTCTCAAAAAAAAAAAAAAAAAGGAAGAAGAAACCTGCTTAGAGATACAGGGTGCTTCCAGGTGCTGGACAGCAACCTCTTTCTATGTTGTCTTCTTTCTAAGAGCCTGAAACTTTACGCCCAACTCAGCCTTTCCTTGAAGGCCGAGGCTCTCTCGAAGATGAAGGCGTATCGTTCTGAAGAGCAATCTAAGCGGCAAAGGCCGTCGTTTAGTTGGTATTAGTCCGTGTCTGACTCTCTCTAGAGCGGAAGGGCATCACCACCGGGATTTCCGGGCTGCCCAACCTCAAACCCGACGGCAAACACAGGCACTCCTCAGGCTGCGCCACCTGGGCAGACAGGAGAGACCGCGCTTCCCCCCGGAGCGCAGAGCTCCCTCTCCACAGACGAGGGACAATTCTCCAAGGGACCGCTGTAAAGACACAGGCTGCAATCCGACAATCACCTAACCTTGAACTGGTGGCAGCCCAGCCCGCATCAGGGAAGAGGATCTTTTTTTTTTTACTTTTTGAGACAGAGTCTCGCTTTGTTGCCCAGGCTAGAGTGAGTGCCGTGGCATCAGCCTCGCTCACAGCAACCTCCAACCCTGGGCTCAAGCGATCCTCCTGCCTCAGCCTCCCGAGTAGTAGCTGGACACAGGCATGCGCCACCATGCCCGGCTAATTTTTTCTCATATATTTTTAGTGGCCAATTAATTCCTTTCTATTTTTAGTAGACACGGGGTCTCGCTCTTGCTCAGGCTGGTCTCGAGCTCCTGACCTCGAGCGATCCTCCCCCGCCTCGGCCTCCCAGAGTGCTGGGGTGACAGGCGTGAGCCACCGCGCGCGGCCAGGGAAGAGCTTCTTCGTCACCGACAGCTCACGGGGTCCAGGAACGGCCTGGGGTCTGTCCCCTCGTCTGCTTCCGAGGCAGACTCGCCCTGCCTCAGGCAATAAGGAATGTATTACCTCACACGACAGAAGTCCAGCAGGTGGCCAGCCAGGCTTCCACAGCCAGCTCATACAGCAGCTCAAGGACGTCAACCGAAATCCAGGTTCTTCCGTCCCCTTCCATGCCAGCCCAGCCCTCCGCAACCTCGCCTTCCCCCTCAGAAGGACAGCAGCGGCAGGTGGCAAACCCTGACGACGCCCGGGGCAAGCAGCACAAACAGCTTCCGGCGGAAGAGCCACCCCCTACACACATCCTCCCACGCCATTGGATATGGCAAGATCACATGATCTGTCTTGAACCAATCACTAACAAGGGCGGTAAATCAAAGACAGACAACCCTGGAGCAAGCAGCACAAAAAAGCTTCTGGTGGAAGAGCCCACCCGCCCCCACACACACACACACATCCTCCCACGCCATTGGATATGGCGAGATCACATGATCAGTTGGAACCAATCACTAACGAGGGCGGTAAATCAAAGACAGGCAACCCTGGAGCTAGGGTCTGTCTTCTTCCCGGCTGCTTGGCTTCATGGCCGAGGGCGGACGCCTGTACAAAAGTGAAGCTCTGTTAGGAAGAAAAAGGAAGCTAGAAATGACTGCTGCCAAGGCATAAGACAACATCCCCAACAAGCCCTCTGCCCCAGACAGGATGCAGACCAGAGATGAAAATTGGCCACCCATGGATCAGGCCTAGCCAAAAGACAATTATTTCAGCTCCCATGATTAATAAAAGCTGAATGCATTAGCAGAATTTAAAAGATGGGAGGTAATTAGGTGACATTTCAGATCTCTAAGATTCTCTTGAAATATCAGAACGATCTAGCAACCCTAACTCAAATCCCCACAGTGCGACCCCCAGCCCAAGTCCTGGAGAAGAAGCGAGTTGTGTATGGTTCTTCCTGCAACTCTGCTCCCTCCCCTCCGTCACTTTACCTGCCTGGGCCAGATGGCATTTATTTGGGTTTGCAATCTCAGTACCGGCTATCACAGATGCCCGAAGAAAGTGAGCCCTGAAACTCATAAAACCCAATAGCTAGAACTTCCACCCCTAGAGCTCCTCCTCGGAGATAATTTACTTCTAAGGAGAAGCAGGAGGGGAGATCAGGTGAATAATCAAATTTTCAGCCACATTCTGGTATCTTTGTTCAGACACCATCCCCCTACCCCAACTACCCCAAATCAACAGAAGCAGGAAAAAAAAAAAAAAAGTGTTGGGAACTGCTTTTTTTTTGTGGGAAAGAAAAACCCTAGGAAATGAGAGCAGCAGTTTGAAGCATCGAGCTAGCATGTGGCCCCAGGCATTTCAGTTTTAACGAATCCCAAAGAACACAGTTTGATCTGACTTCTGAATTCACAGTGGCATTTTCTCAGGATACTATTAATAAGCATTTAAGGGATACTCATGTCAAGAAGATGGAAGATTTACACCAAAAGGAAAACTTAGCAGGAACTGCCCCTTGCCCACAGCATTTATGTCACAGGTGGCCATCCACACCACTTTGGTGTCACCAGCGGCAGTGCTGAGGAAGGGGGGACAGGATATACCAGTTCTGGATCCCTGGAACTATACCAAGTTAATCAGTATAGAAGGTGTCAAGGCACTCTAGCTTCCAAGAGTGCCTCTGTCATTTTTACCCACCCAACTTTCTTTCCTTCCTTCTCTTGGCAAAGACCCTCCTTTCCTAAGAGAATGCCATTCTGTGAGGCTGGGGTGGGGGCTTTCAATGCTTGCAATGTTCCCCTAATTTTTGGAAATTAAGAACATTAAAATAATGGAAAACAGGCATCGGCCGGGTACAGTGGTTCATGCCTGTAATCCTGGCACTCTGCGAGGCCAAGGCAGGAGGATCGCTCAAGGTCAGGAGTTGGAAACCAGCCTGAGCAAGAGAGAAACCCCGTCTCTACTAAAAATAGAAATTATCTGGACAACTAAATATATACACATACACAGATATATATATATATATATATACACACACATACACACACACACACACACACATATATATATAATTAGCCGGGCATGGTGGCGCACACCTGTAGTCCCAGCTACTCGGGAGGCTGAGGCAGGAGGATCACTCGAGCCCAGGAGTTGGAGGTTGCCATGAGCTAGGCTGACGCCACGGCACTCTACCCCAGGCAACAGAATGAGACTCTGCCTCAAAACAAAACAAAACAAAACAAAACAAAACAAAACTAGTTAATAACAAGCCCTCAGAATTTCTAAAAATACCACAATCAGTTCTCAGGAGCCAGCACAAGCGTGACTCAGGAAGGAAGCAAAGAGCAGAAGAGAAGCGCTCCAAGCCCAAATCCTCCACCCTCACAGGTCTACACCACGCCAGGCCCTGGGAGGATCGTCTTCAGAGCCAAGCCCCCCTCTGCAGAAGTGGGGTCACGCCTGCTGTCTGGTGGTAATAGACAGTGTCCGGTTAATGAAGCAGGTTTTACTGCAGCTAAAACCCTGGGCCTATCTTCTCTCCCTGATTCCATAAAGCATTCGTGGCAGTTCGGTTTTAACCAATACAGGAGTAATTTGAAATCAATTTCCTCTCTCCTTGATGAGCAATGGACTATTTAGTGTGACCCACGGAGAAAATTACAAGGCTATGTTGGTGAGGCAGTTACCTGGAGCCCCAGCTGACTGGTACCAACCATGAGGATGCTGGCCTTACTCCCCTCTGGACTCTGTTATCACCACTGGCTTGGGTGTTTGAACCTCCCCCCTTTTTTTTTTGAGACAGAGTCTCACTCTGTTGCCCGGGCTAGAGTGCCGTGGCATCACCCTAGCTCACAGCAACCTCCAACTCCTGGGCTCAAGCGATCCTCCTGCCTCAGCCTCCCAAGTAGCTGGGATTACAGGCATGCACCACCATGCTCGGCTAATATTTTCTATATGTTTTTAGTTGGCCAGTTATTTTCTTTCTATTTTTAGTACAGACAGGGTCTCACTCTTGCTCAGGCTGGTTTTGAACTCCCGACCTTGAGCGATCCACCCACCTTGGCCTCCCAGAGTGCTAGGATGATAGGCGTGAGCCACCCAGCCCAGCCCCCTTTCTTAATTTTAAGGGGGCAGGAGCCATCCTTGATCCTTCTGGTTCAATCAACACATGTACAATGAGCAAAAAGTATGAGGTGGGCACTCTGAGACCCAAGTAAGCATGGAAGATACAGCCTCAGCTCTTGTGGCACACACAGAGACGGGCAAAAGGGTCTGAAACAGAAGCCTAAGAAGGCTCCCATGAATGCAGTCACATAGAGACCTTTGTCTCGTTAGCCAGCTGCATCTCACATAAAGCCACGTGCAGGCTGGGATTCTACCAGTATTTCCTAGCCACCGGATCCTGGACAACTAACTGTAGCCTGGGCTCGATGTTGATCATAATATTCCTGCAGGGTTCTTGTGGGGTCCAAATGAGACTGAGCATTTACTCTCTGCTCCCAGATACTACACACTCCTCGTGGTTTTGCTCGCATGCCAACGTTTCACGATGACGTCCATTTAAAAATACGTGGCAACCTATCCAACCCCCTCCCCCACTTCCAACAACTCCCAATTTCCTTTTCACTCCTTTCCTTTTTCCTGTCACTTGCCACCTTTTAATGTGTCCCCCCTGCCTACTAAAACACACGCTGCACAAAAGCAGGTATTATTTGTTAGTTTTGTTCCTTTCCCAAATATCTACGACAGCAACAAAACAAACAGCAAACAGGAGGCACTCAATAAATAAGAAGTGGAGGTGAATGGATGAATGGATAGAAACTAAGAACTCTTATGGAAGAGACTGTAATCTGAATCTTTGAATCTCCAACATCTTACACAAATTCCACTCAATTTTTATTGGAAAAATGAATAAAAGAATATATCATGAGCACTGATTTGAGCCCATAAATAACCTGAGACTACCCGAAGGATATAATATCCTTACTGGTTGCAATTTTCCTCTAGGTGCTAAAACTCTCATCACACAGCACAAACAAACATGCTCACACTCTACAGTTTTGTCTCAGTGTTTTCCCCAACTGTGTTCTGCATGAATTAGCTCAAACATCGGTGGGCAGGGGTTGGGTTGAATAGAAGCCTTTAACTCTGATTCAATCAGAAAAGTGCTTTTTAAAAATCTGTGGGGTTTTAGGGGGGCTTCTTTTGGTTGTTTTTTTCTTGAGACAGGGCCTCAACCCTGTTGCCTGGGCTGGAGTGCAGTAGCTGTCCTCACCATAGCTCACTGTAACCTCAAACTCCTGGGCTCAAGCGAGCCTCCTGCCTCAGCCTCCTGAGTAGCTGGGACTACAGGCCTGCGCCACTACACCTGGCTAATCTTCTAGTTTTGTAGGGATGAGATCTCGCTGTGTTGCTCAGGCTGGTCTCAAACTCCTGGCCTCAGGCGATCTTCCCACCTGGGCCTCCCAAATCACTAGGATTATAGGCATGAGCCACTGCACCTGGCCAAAATCTGTTTTATAGACTGAGATTTCAGGCAAATTTTATTTGCAAAATAGATTCCACTGCTAAAAGGAAGTTTGAAAACACCTTTAGGACATTTAAAACAAAACAAGAAGAACATCAAACTTTAGTCATAAGTCAAAAGTCAGTGCACAAGGTTTCACCCAGAGTCAAATTATCCTTAACAAACCCCTTGAATCACCCAAAAAGCACGGTACATGTTTTATGTAATGATACAGTTCATGTTTTGGGTAATGCCAACATTTGCCACCCACTGATCTTGATTAAAATCAAAATCTTCATGCAGGTGACTGAGGATTAGAATTATTATGCTTTTTAATACTCAGAAAAGAAAAGAAGATGAGTAAAAGATTCTAAAGTGTGCCTGCTCTTCTATCAGGGTTCATTCTATTGCATTTTTTTTAGAAAGCCTCTACAACTTTCAAAAACCTGAATGCATCTGTTTGCTGTGGTAAGCAATGTAGGCTATGAAAAAGTTTTATCATATAGTAGGTGTTTACTAATTTTTATTTATTTATTTATTTTTGAGACACAGTCTCACTCTCCTGCCTAGGCTAGAGTGCCGTGGCATCAGCCTCACTCACAGCAACCTCAAACTCAAGGGCTCAAGTGATCCTCTTGCCTCAGCCTCCCAGGTAGCTGGGACTACAGGCACTGTGCCACCGTGCCCGGCTAATTTTTTCTATTTTTAGTTGTTTTGGTTAATTTCTTTCTATTTATAGTAGAGACGGGGTCTCGCTCTTGCTCAGGCTAGTTTCAAACTCCCAACGTTGAGCGATCCTCCCTCCTCGGCCTCCCAGAGTGCTAGGATTACAGGCGTGAGCCACCGCATCCGGCAGACTGGAGCCACTCTTAACGAAGATTTCAGAGACTCAAAACTAGCTATCTT